CTTACCTTCTAGGAATGGCAAATCCACCCCAAGTGATAGTCACCACATATTTTCCTGCCACTATTGGGTAATAGTCACACTCAAACACTCCATCTCCAAGGTCACGGATTTTGACTGGTTCCTCTGTGCCCTCTGGTGGTCAGAAAATAGATGGGTTATAAACTGCTCTCGTTTATACTGTAGTTGTTTTAACTTCTGTGCCATATTGATCAATCATTTGAAAAATTTACCCCAATTATAAACTGCCCAGTGTAAAGGTGTGCGTTCCCGCAGTAAGTAATTCTCTTTATAAGATAATTTCCTTGAAAAAGGAACACTGTATTCATCATATGTTAAAGGTTGTGGAAATATTTTTTTTTAGCCAGCCTTGAGTTATGCTTTAAAACCCAATTAACACTTTGGGATTTACAGTGTTAATCAGGTTTTAAAGCATTAACACTTTAAATGCTTTAAAACCCAAAGTTTTAAAAGATAGCAGTCATTCATTTTATTATTTTATTTTAATACAATTGTGTACCCCTTAACTGATACAACGTTGCATAGTTTTATTGTCTACTTACTGGGCCCTTTAACAGAGACTTTCAGCTCCCCACTTCCTGCTCCCTTGGTGAACACTTTGAAGTCAGCCACTTCTTTAACGCGCACTCCTTTAGGCTGCAGTCCTCGGCCAGAAGCTCTGCAGGCATTGGGATTACAAGCTGCAAAAGACATTGCATTGTTGTAGTCATAAGAAAAGCCAGAGATAAAAGAAACGGAGCCATATTTTACACAACTCACCCACTGCTAGCACAGGATTGTAAGTAAAAAACTGCATCTGATTTCCATCAAATACCCCTCACATACCATCCTAATGGTAGTCATGTCAGAGGCATTTGCTTTAGTTTTACCCAGGACAAAAAGCTACATGCATAAGCAGACATACAAACTGTGCACACACCTCTCCTATGTCCTAAGGATGGATACACAAGATGCATTTGTAGGAAAATCCTAAAGTTTTTTTTTTTTTTTTCTAGCTTTGAAATACTTTTCAAGGACATGTACATTTTATGGTATTGTACAACGTCTTTTATATGATAATTCTTGTAAAATGTGAATCTACTCAGTACTTAGTAACATCATTATTAAATGAAAATCTGTGTTAAGAAATTTAGAAGATTTGAAAGAATAATAGCAATTGAGGTCATCCACAGCAGAGAGCTTCAGTAAAAAGATTTAATTAAGTCCACTCCTAATGAGGTGTAGGGGCACCTTTGATTTTCTAGGCCCTGACAGCTAGGCTACCTGCACTACCTGTAGCTCTTTACATGCACTGTTAATACGATCACCATGTCATTAATTCTTGGGTGTTCAGGAAAATTCCCCATTGCAGCTATGCTACCTGCTTTATCCTTAGAAAAATTATCCCACTGAGTATAATCTTCCAACCTTTTATTTCCAGAGTTTGAATGTAGCTGTTTCATCTACTTAGTGCATGTTTTTAAAATAGCACCTGTGTTTTCTAGAAAGGCAACTGTTTCATAATTTAGTTTATAATGGTTAAAATGAAATACCATTTACAAATTGATCCAGTGCGTCTATCCTTATTAAATTCTTAAGCAGCACTCCACACAGTATTCCAGTGTTTGTTGGTCATGCATATGCATTTGTTATTCTAACAAGAATGCAGCAACAGTTACTGTTATGTCCTCCAATATTTCAAGCTTTAAGGTATGAGACCCCATTCTTGATTATCATTTTAATAATATGTACATTTTAATAATCTACTCCGTGCATTTTAAAGGCATCTCCATTCCATCTCAGATGTAAATCTGTTTGGCTCAACTGGAGAAGGTTTCGGGTTTTCAGAAGATCTTTATTATTGATGTGGTGGTCAAAACAGGGCCTGCTCAGTTTTATGTCACTTGTCCCTGCATGAGTCCCCAAATATTCTACAGAGAGCAATATAGGCCCAGGTGACACAGTATAATGAAAATCTATCAGGAACCTCTCCTAGACCTAGTAAGCAATCCTAGCAGGGGTCAAACCTGTCCCAGTCCACTGAAAATAGGGAAAGGCATTTAACCAATATGCCTTACCAAATAGTTGTGTAATACTAACAGGGTTATTCACAAAAGGGTGAAGGGTTTGGAGAAGGCAGGGGAAGTGAACAATCTAGGCCAAAACAGCTTAACTGGAAAGTGAGCTGAATTGGAGAATTTCTCCAAATCAGCTATTTTGGCCTAGATTGTTCACTTCTCCTGCCTTCTCCAAACTCTTCACCCTTTTGTGAGTAACCCTGTAAATGTATTTAGCTCTTTTTTAAAAGGAAAATATTCTAAACTAGAGAATGTGAGAGATCTCTAAGGTAGTCATGTATCTAACAGGCAAGCTCTGGGCATAAGAAAAATGAATGACCAAAGGCCTAGGACAGTCAGGCAGAGCACACAAGGAAGGTGCTAAGACAATACATAGATTTGTAGTGTAGGACAATTGACACAGGAAAGACAACTGAATAATAGCTGTTTATAATACCAATTATAATATAATGGAATAGTCATTATTCATAATGAAGGACTAAACACAAACATTCTTTTCAAAGTAAGTAGCTATAGATATGCAATGGTACATTCAAAAGAGAACAACGATGTACTTCACAGGTCCTACAAATTGTTCATTCAAAGTACTAAAGTCTAAAAAACATAGGCATCGTCAGAGGACAGGCCATGCTTAGAGCGTGGACAGGCCATGCTTACAGTCATGTATTAATTACAAAGCCTGTTCACAAAAATATGACCATGCACAGGCTGTGACTAAATGGGCAAGCCATCCTGAGGCTGTGTTCTCTCACACTTTTCAGGCCATGCTCAGGCCATACTAACTTGATTTGCGTGGCTTAGGTTTGGGTGGAGGTGGGGGAGCCACTTTCTTTGGTTTTTCAGGAGGCGGGGTAGCAATGGCCTGAGGGGTGACCTGCAGGGGAGGGGTGCTAGGAGCCAAGGCAACAGCTATGGGGAAGGCAAAAAAAACAAAACATGGGGAAAGAAGTTCATATAAAGCAAAGACAAAGTTGTGGCAACTGACAAGCATACAATGACATACATGTACAGTGACAGACAATGAAATTTACACCTCCTCACTTTTATGCATGCAGTGAACCATGCAAAGTAAAAGGACACTTGTAGAGCTAATGATACTGCAAATATCGTATATGAAAATGGTCATAGTCTGCGAATATGGTTTATAAGAACTAGTTAAGAGTGTCAGAGTGGTCTATAGTAAGCAGAAGGATACTGGATTTTGCTTTTTAGCTTTTAGCCAGAGTGTGACTGGTTACTGTGGGCAATGCAGACACTATTTTGTCTCCCTTCGTTTTAAAATATAATGGGAAGATGCCATAATTGGCCACTGAATGTAGAATACCACAATATAGTTACTGAAAAAATAATTGCAGTATTAAAATGAGACAAGATCAATTTATGAAGTCTTAGGGGTCTATTCACCAAGCAGCCGAAGGATCCTGCCGTAGCTTCGGCCGATTCTTCGGCTAGCTTCGGCCCCAGAACCGAAGGGCTGCTGTACGGCCTATTCACTATAGCCCGTACAGCTCCTGAACTTGGCCGAGCGGCTCAGTCGAGCCGAACGCGTATGTCTCGGCTCGGCAGAGCCGCGCTGAAAGCCGAAGCTGGCCAAGCAGCTGGCCATTGGCTGGCCGACAGCCTGCTTCTGACAGCTGGGCGGAGCCAGCCGTGATCTTCCGTGATCTTTTTTAGGATAAGATGATGGAACCATCACAGAGGTAGGCAAACTTGTACTCCACTTGTGGCAAGACTAAAAATTCCATCATGACTCTGGGAGTCATGCCTCTGGCTGTCAGAGTCTTACAATGCCTTGGGAGATTTGTAGTTCAACAACACCTAGAGTGCCAAGGTTGTCTACCCCTAAACTATCATATATGCACTGAATCACAAACTTTAATTAAAGTTACCTGAAATAGATTGATATATTGGCCTTATAGCTCTGTTTTACTGGTAGAGACAGAAGAAGAGTGAATGCTGACTGTGTCTTTGTGCTCATGAACCATGTAGACCAGGGGTGGGGAACCTCTGGCATTCCAGCTGTGGTGAAACTACAAATCCCATAAGGCATTGCAAGATTCTCGCAGCCATAGGCATGACTCCTAGAGACAGATGCATCATGGGATTTGTAGTTCCACAGCTTGTGGGTCAGAGGTTCCCCACCCCTGATATAAACCAAAGTCATCATGCATTTTCTGTTCCATTAAGACATATCCATAGTTTTTTCCAAAGGCTACCCAATATTAGCTAATTCTTGCCAAATTCATTCTTGAACAAGCTTGATAACAATGACCCCAAACTCAAAGTTCCTTCTGAATTTATAATTTAAATTCAGAAAATGGAATTTAGTAGGCTATACAAATTCATGTTTAATGTGTTCATGTGCGCACACACGGGTTTATATGTTGTTGTTTATATGGTTCAAGTTTTTCCTATTTATTTACAGTTAAACCTATAAGAGTTAACCTTTAAGAGTTAACCAGAAATAAACTTTTATTTTAATCTGCTGTTAGGTTGATTCTTATTATTTAATGAGGATTCCTGCACACTAGTTCAACACCAGAGCATCTTTATGGTCCCATAGTTACCCCTGTTTAATATGGATGGAGTTTCTTCATGCACACTGTGGTTGATTTACAAAAGAATAAAATCCAATCATTTGCTTGGAGTAAAAAAAAATAGGAATTTCTATTGCACATAATTTGATGAAAGGAGTACAGAGGGATTCACTGAACTAAGTGAATATACTCTTACTTAAATAGGTCAACCCCGACAATCAAAGACAGCTGGAAATGTAAATTCCTTCTTGTGAATATATATTATATACTGTATATGAATGTTAATACTGATAAAGAAAAACAATGTACAATGGCTTAAGTTTACTATTTTTTCCAGAAAGACCTCTGTGATATCTCACATGTAAGAGAAAAACACCATGTACAAAAATATAGGATGTACACAGACGAGACGGTAAAAAACACGATAAGATGAAAGTGAAATAGGTAGAATATGAAAAAATAATGGTCATGTGTGACTGCATGGAACTTGGACATTTATTATCTCTAGAATTGTAATTGTCCTACCTTCTGAGATATTAACAACATAGGGACACTTTGGAATCTGGGCTCCAGCAAAGGTAATGAAGATCTTGTGAGGTCCCTCCATGTTGGGTCTGTATGTGCAGCGATAGATGCTATCACCTTTGTCTTCCAAGATGACTTCCACTGTGTCTTGACGATTCTGTGGATCAACTATGATCACCCCAACATCACCTGAACCAGCACCTATGGACATCAGACAATCAAATATTTTTAGAGGAGATCACTAAATACTACATCATTGCTTATGGATAGCTCACTACAAATTGGTAAATTATTAACATTTTGAAAAGTTTTGAATGCCCTCTCGCTATGTACTTTCAATATTTATTTACTATGCAATTAACTTTTAAATAATTGTTACCTGCAGTGTAGATATCAAAGTAGGTTGGCTTGTTGGCAACATTCCCCACAGGTTCTAGACCAGGTCCCCTTGCTGTCACTTTATTGGCATCTCCAAGTGCCATGGCAACATTGACATCAAATGGACTTTTATTGATGTTCTGTCCAGCAAATAAAACTGTGACCTATGTGAGAACAAGTTCAAATAAGGGTTAATCTGGTTAGAGTCTTGCTTTATGGCATAGTTTCATTGCTAATTTACGGTACACTATCACTCAATAAAACACTTTCTGGTTTTTTTTTAAAAGATCTCTTTTACATAGACGAGAATAGGTTTCTAATGTATGGTGATAGAGCTATCTATCTATCTATCTATCTATCTATCTATCTATCTATCTATCTATCTATCTATCTATCTATCTATCTATCTTTTTGTCCAGTGAAAAAGACATATCTCACACAAATCAAAGAATCAAAGGAGCCTGATTTATAAATAGTTGTGTTCCCAGTAATAATCAATCAGATGCTTGCTTTAATATTCTAATCTGCCCTATAAAATTACTCCTGACATTTTAGAGTGGCACAAGTGACCCAATGATTACAAGCTTTTATCTGGATTCAAGCTTTGTTTGGATTGCTCCTGAACTCTCTAGGGACAGTAATAAGCATTGCTGGTGGCCAGAAACAATCACTATTGTAAGATGGAAAATCCCTTAATGCAGGGCTTCTGTCTTATCTGCTGTGGAGCACAGGTAAAAATCAAAGTACCATGCATATGAGGCTGTCATTTAAATGGAAGAATAAAAGCAGGTCCTGGTGCTCAGGTTTGGTACCCATTTGAGGATTGTCAGATAGCTCCCTATATGCCCACCTTCAGAGGAAGGTTTTATTGACCAAAAGCTTCACTCTTTTAGCATGTGGAATTTTAATTGATTTTTCTTAGAATATAAAAGGTAAACACATTTATGTCTCTTACCTTGTGTAGACCTGCCACCTTTGGCACATAGCTGACTGAGTAGGTTCTATTCTTGTCATTGTTGGGAATAACCTTTGCCTTGAAAAGAAATATTGAGTAGGTGACCTAGCCAAAACTCAACAGCAAAGCAAATTCACTGTCAGACTGAGTATGCAACTAAAGACTGTAGTATAAAAATTCAATTATACAATGATTCCAAATATTCTGTGTACCTTTCTCCAACAAGAAAATCATAAGCAATAGGCAATATTCACTTAGTCAAAATATATTCAATGATACATGACGTTCCTGAGTTTCTTTGTGAATGTATGATATATTTATGTGTTGATGCAGTTATTTTTTTGTAACATTGTACTCATGTTTGGCTAAATCCAAGGGCCTATGGTTTGGGTCACACAATCAGGTGCTGGAATTCCCAAGTTATTTGTTATTCTATTTGTGCTATTAAGTCCTAATGGAAGCCATAGTTTGGGGGATTTAGAAAAATGGCAGACTGACATTTAGGGCCACAACACTACAACAGGCTGACCATGTCAGAGCATGATTCCCAATGTGATCCACATTATTAATGCTATATTTAAATATCAGAGCTATACAGATTAGAGCACGGTTATGCCAGATATTTATTAATCTTTAAAGCTGTTGTATTTAATTTCTACCTCTTCGGTATGTCCTTCGGGATCTTCTATGAATACCAGCACTTCTCCCAGACCAGCTTCGATAGTTTCTACTGTGAAGAAGGCAGGCTTCAAAACCGTGTTTCCCTGGGGCTCAATTCCTGAAATGATAGCATACAACACAGTAATTAGTACCACGCAGCAGGAAAAAAGGTAGTAATATCTATGATATATTAACAACATCAATAAATGTGCTTCATATAACATGAAAGGACTTGAGATATGTTATATATACTACAGACTTGAGATATGTATATATATATATACATATAAACAGTATATATCAAATTACATTATTGCATTTACATATATTTTGCATTATCAGAAAAACATTTTGTTTTCTCAGATCTGAATATGTGTTTGCCTGGGCTCTGCACCTCAGGGGCTTTGCAGAGCTTTGGGTGGGATAAAGCCTCCATTCCTAGCTCCACATCTTACTTATTAAACAGACCTCATTATTAGTCTCAGCTATGCACAGGACTTTATATATGTGAGCTGACTGAGACTCAATGGCCCTTACTCTCTCTCACTCTCTGCTGTGGAATCCTGCTGCTGGGTGAAAGGCTGACTACTCACATCATGCTAAAAGGTACATGAGCTGCCTGTTTATTTATAAACCCACAGCCTGATAGTCAGGAGCTGACATAAGCTTATTTAGTGGTGTGCACGAGCAGAGGTTTTGTTTGTTTTATATATGGACTTTCTGTACAAAGCCCTCTTGCACTGAACTGTGTTTGTTTACTGCCTTGCTGAAAAAAAGTGCAGGACAAGCCTGTTGGACTGTTTCCGAGTCTTCCTCATGCATGCTTTACTGTTGCCATTAGCAGTTGAGCATGTCCCCTTATATATATTTCATGCTGTACAACATATTTTCCTATGCAAGAACAGCTAAAAAAAAAGTTATAGACGTAGATATGAACTAAAATACTAACATGCCTCCCAAATGTCCCTTATTTGGAATGAAATCTCTCTGTCCATCTTTCCTTGTCAGTTGACAGTTACCCTCTTTTTAGTCTGATGTACAAATATCTATAAAAAGGTTCTATAGTGTTATTATGTACTACATTCGTTATCTTATATTATTATATTATTTGTTTATTGTATTGTTTGCTATCTAGAAAAGCCAGTATAGAGGAAAAGTAATGGTGAAAAAAAAAACAATTCTGGTGTAGCACTCACTGCTATGTCGCTACTAAATTTAGTGTATATCTGGACTGTAATCAGTCTGGATGCTGATTTCCCTGAGTTCTGCAGGATTCCCTGAGTCTGGTAGATTGATTGTTTCCCCCTGTTGCTGGGTTGGGGACTCAGCATACAGTGAGGGAGAATCCATCCTCAGACTGTGATTATGCATTTGACTCTGACCAGTCCCTGAGCATGCTGACTCAGAAGTATGGCTGGAGGAAGGTGATAAATGTTTGGGGACATCTTCCAGCACACTCTCTCTCCCCGGGGGCCCTCCCTGGGAGGAGGTCTGTGTGCTACAGGATGCCTGGCCTAGGCCTCAGCATGTGACAGATGCTGGGGGCCTAGAGGCCTAACATACTACACGATGCCTGGTCTGAACCTCAGCATGTGGCAGATGCTGGTGGCCCAGAGACCTTAAATGCTACTGGAAAGGAACCTGAAGGAAGTTGGCCTGGAGGTGGCATCTGCTTATGTCACAGAGGAGCTAGTGAGAGCTACCGTCTGGACCCTGTAAGAGATCACTCACCCTACTCTCTGGTATTATACAGAAGAGAAGCCAGTTGGTGCACTACAAGTCCTGTGACAGTTCTCCCTCACAGTCCAGGACTATTCCTGGTTGTTCTCTGGTGCTACTACATATTACTGGTCACTCTCACAGGACTGTTTCAAGCTGTTGCTAAGGGAGAAGACATAGTCCTCTAAATTGTTGCTCGGGTATCCTGCAATCCTAACCCTCTCTCCTAGTTGATACTATGCAATAAATGCTAAAAAGACCCTACAACTCGAGCCTGTTTCTGTTCTGGAGTGTCGGTGTTGCTGGAGCTGAGAAAGGGTCCGGTGGTGGGGAAAACATGTAGGAGAGCCCTAGTTCATATCCAGCGGCTCCTTCGGGGGTGAACGCTGCACTGGGTTTAACCAATAATTTTTGGCATATACAGAACATTCTTAATGGTATCACTGAGGGTGTATCTATTGCCTTATTATAGTGTGCTGGAAGGTGTCCCTCCTTCTCATCTGAGAAAGTTAGGATGTATGTACTACAGCCATCAGTCATTACAATCTAGCGTAAACCATACTATCTTTAAATTTGTATTCCCTTTATCTTTAGAACAAGTCAGAAGCTGAATAATGTTCTCACTGCTGCATCTCTAGATATGTCCAAGACTGATGGGAATGAATAAGGCCCCACTGAAATGTGTGTTTTGGTTCTGGCTGTTTCTTAATTGTCCACATTTGGGAGTTTTGGCAGCAGGCGGTCTCACTGCTTCGGATCAACATTGTAACAATCCTGATGCTGCCAAATAGAGATGGAGCAGAGCGGATTGAGAGCATGAGCTCACCCAGACATCGTGTTACACTGACAAAGCCAGCAGGAAGGGAACTGCGGGGGCTACCTGGTCTCCCACTTTAACCCTTTGCTATTAACCAAAGTGAGTTAACTGTAAAAATCACACAGGCTTATTCAATAAAAAGTATAAGGAGTAATTCTCTTAGTGCAACGCACAGTGTATACAATTTGAATCTATCCTCTACTGGTCAGACTTTAATTAAGTAAATATTAATGAATTTCTATAGGTTACTGCATTTGCATGTAATGTTTTGTTTCTTAACTAATTAATGAGTAATCCCATGTATTTCTTTTAATGCATAGGCCCCACTTAGGTGGTCTTGACTGGAAGAATCATTTTCAGATTTTTTTGTTTTTCAGAAATTTTCTTATGCCACTGAAAAGTGCTCCGGCACAGTAAAGTAGTCGGCCTCTCTGATGCATCACATGAATAGGCTAAAAAAGCTATGTGTTATTCTTCTTCTCTAAGCCTATTTTCTATGATCACAAAAATCACTTATAGCCAGAAAAAAGCAATGAGAGGAAGTACACATTTGTGCACTCCCAGTAATATACCCATTGATACTGTTCTATGACACAGCACGGTAGACAGTATATCAATATATAGGGGTGACAGTTCAAGCCCATCTATATACAAAACCTTTTTACATTTCTCTGAACAGAAAACAACTTTTAATAGTTTTATGGATTTGCATTGGCATTGCTGTTATTCTCATACCTGGACCATAGGCAATGGCTTTCTTAGGATGCAGCTGCTTTGATCTTAGAGGGGCACCTGGCTTCAGTTTGGCCTTGGGGAACTGGGAAAGGTAGGTCATGACTGAATGCTCATCTACATTGGGGTCCACAATTTCTTCAGGAGCAATGACCTACAAGAGTAGCATGTCAAAAGGGAAGATCATTAATAGGTTAGTTATAGTATTAAAAAACAACACATAATACACATGTACATCATATTAAGTAATTCAAGTGCTCTACAGTTTATTTCTAAAAGTTTTTTTTGGACTTTGCAGTTAAATAATTGGTATGTAATTGTTCTGGTATCAAACATACAATATTAGACAAGCAAGATGGGGAAATATCTGGCTACATTCAAGCTGTTTTTCAATCCAGTCAGTTGGTGGACTATAAAAACAGGCTTAGCGGATGACTTGCTGCAGACAATGAGGTTTATAGTTCAGAAGCAATGACATAAAAATAATGTCAGGGGTTTAATATGGTGTTGTGCATATGGAAGACAGTGAGCTCATATGCAGACTATTCCATTAGTGTCCAGTTGAAGATTCTAGCTCTGTTTAATATTGTAAACTCTGTAAATATTGTAAAAGATTTATAGCCTTCGAGTCAGAGCCACGCAGACAAAAATCATCATGATGCATTATTTTTCTATTCCATTAAGACATGTGTTAAAGAATGCAGAACCAGTGCAGTTTTGATTTATTTTCCTCACGGCCATGGATTTTTACCAAATGATAAACAGAGCTAAACTGCAGTCCTTTATTCTTGTGCAAGCATGATAACAACATGCAAAGCAGTGCATTATTATGATGACATGACTCCCATAATCAAAGTTCCTTCAGTACTTATGCTTTAGCTTGTGTAACTGAAGTTTAGAAGTCTTCACAAATTAATTGTTAGAGATGTGTTTGTACTTCAAGATTATGGGGTTCAGTTCTAAAAGTTCCGCCTAGCGTATAGATGGACGAATGGCGTTCGCATGGCACTAGTGCCCCTAGATGGCACTGACAAGTATAGAACATTCCTATATTTGTCAGTGCCATCTAGGGCCACTAGTGTCATGCGAATGGCATCTGTCAGCATATAGTTATAACTTTTATAAATGAACCCCTTTATGCTTATGCTATGTTTAGTTTGAATGCTGAAAATATATTTAATAACACAGTTCATCCCAAACTAGCCAAAAAGAAATCAGCTTTCAGTTTAACCCTTTTGCTGCCAAGGGCGTAAGGCTTACCTCAAAATTGGGCCTCTTCCAGTTGGCCAGGTCAGCAAGCCTTATGTTCTCTGCATTCCCCCCACTGCTATAAACTCATGGTCACTTTAGTGACCATAAACTTATAACAGATGGGTCCCCTGGACTCTCCTGAGTATTGGTTATGTGTTTAGATGAAGCACTGAGATCTGGAGGAATGCTACATTATGTTTTACTTGCTTAGAAGAACGTTATATTAGAATACAGCATATAGAGAGAACTTTCTGTATATATCATAGATAAACATGAACAAGCATAGAGACTAACATTGAACTACAGCGTCATCTACAGCTCAAAAGACAAAACGGTAGAATATCAGTAACATGCAGTTGTATTTCCAACACTGAGTAAATAAACAGATGTGATCAGTGGCTGACAAGCCACTGATGGCAGCCATTCATTAGAAATGTGTTTGCAAAAAATGCACAAGTGCTCTAATGTTGATTTTTGTGTATTTTTATATAAAATATCGTTTTGATAAATATTTGCGCAACTATCGTGGGACCTACAAAATCAATAATATTATCGTTTTATTCTATTGGTTTTGTACTTTCAGAAAATAGGAGTCTTTACAAACTTTGAAAGCTGTAAGTGAAAAATGATCAAAGCGTGAAAATTTGCAAAAATTGCCTGGTCACCTAGGATAAAAATTGGCGCACAGTAGCTGGCAGCAAAAGGGTTAATCTGCAGTAAATTAAATTCTAACCACTAACAGGATTGTTCACCGTGCCCTTTTCTATTGAAAACGTTAAAAAAAACGGTCTGAATACACGTTAAGTTCTGCATGTCTTTGTAGTCCTAATATGGCACACTTTCTTGGCTTGGTCCAGCACTGGGTTTTTCCCTCTGTATGAGGTCCTTAGCATCCAGCCAATCACAGGCCACTGCCCTTGCAGCCAATCAGCTCTCAACATCTGCCTTAAAGGTCTAGTGCATGTGTTGCTTAGTGTTTGTGCAAAGTGTCAGTACACTGCGAATGCAAAAAATAGAGCATGCAGCATTTTTTGCATTTGCAGTGGACCAGAAAGCAGGCAATGTTTTGCCACGTGTCTGATCGCACTTGACTTCAATGCACCGCCACGCCCCCTCCCACACAAGAACGAAGGGGGAAGTTTTGTGAGCGATTGCTGTGCATTCCAGCAGCTGCCGCTCTGGAACGCACCACAATTGGTGTCAATGGGCCCTAAGTTGCAAAAACTCCAGAGCCTCCCTTCCCATTGACATAATAATGCTTAGTAATTAGAATGTGGCTATAAGTTATGGTTTTGATATATGTGCAGACAGCTTTATGCTCCCATAAAAGGCCTTGTTCACTCACCTGTGGCACACCTAGCCAGTCATCAGCCTGTTGCATGGCCTCTCTTGCGTTCTCCACAGGCTGGTTGGGATCCCAAGCCTCCCAGTCTGGACACAGACCTATAGCAAAAAAATACATTATCCTTTGTTATTAGTCTTCTGAAGCATTAACATAATTTGATAGCTACATTATGAAAATGTAGGTAAGTGGCTCAGTAACTAAGCCAAGTGAGTCATATATACAATCTCCACAGTAGCTATGAATTCCACTCAACATTGAAATTACTGTACCCTATCAAGGGTGCCAGAACATTTTTTTATAGTGGCTTATGTTTGAATATTGTGGCTTATGTTTGCTCTTTGAAAAATTAATTGAGGGGAATTTAAAACCGGAGAAGACTTCTGGAGTTGTTCTGGAGCATTTGGTGCATTCCCATTGCAGCTCTCTAGAAATACTTTTTGACTGGCTGCAGCCCAACCATAGTTAGTCTTATCACTAGTAACAAAAATGTATGTAACCTGTAAGGTTTGGAAATCTTACAGGTTGGTTTCTAGAAAGTGGCTCTATGGCGCCATAGGGAATATAATATTAATAACCGAAACTTCCTCACAGAGCTGACAACTGAACTGTGGTAAAGTAGGATTACGTGACAGCTAACAGGACCCAAAAGGGTATATGACTGACAGCCATTGAACACTCAAAAATATTATTGGGCTGCAGCACATTAATATTTTGTCTTTGTAATATTTTAAATACAGTTTTATAGTTAGATATATGTGTTATAAGTTAACTTAGGTGGTCCACCTGTAAGTCATTACAATAATATTTCTGTGTCTCATCTTGTTGGACATGATTATTAATTTGACAGGCCAAGGACCAAGGAACACACATATGGGAAGCTGAATATAATGGTAAGCGTAAAGGCCAGAAAATGACACCATGTTGTTACACAACAATGCTGAGCACTTCTTTATTTAAGCCCTCTAGACTGAAAGCATAAGGTTCTATATGGCTAACATAATCAATCATAATATTCCTGAAGACCAGATCTTATTCTCTAAGCTTGCATATAACACTTATCACCTAATATATTAGTAAAAGGAATGACTAAACTGAAATCTGTGTGCTTGTGCCATTGTGCAGTTTTATTTGATGTTGCATGATGCGATTGTGCAAGCTAGGCTATGCTCTCTGCCTCTTGCCTTATATGAGATTACACACATCTCTCCCCACCATCTCGTTCTCTGGCAGGCAGACAGACAGCTATACTGGATAATGTTACAACTGCATTTCCCTTGTCATGGAAGGGAACGGGCAGAAGAGTACTGTTACACTGAAAATTGTTTCATGCCTACATATAAATGGACATTAGATCCCTCCTCCAATAACATGACCTGTCCGTTTCAAATACTATTAATACCCTTACTGGATAAGAATAGGGACAGAGTAAGTTACACACATTCAGCTGTGGTAACCTGCTGGTGCTCACAAGGAAATACTTTAGAATTGTTGTAAAATTGTACAGTCTAGCTGTCTAGGAGCAGAATTCTCTGACATCTTTAGATATTTTCTTATATAGAGTAATTAGAATCCAGTCAGTACATGAAGTGACACAGCTTGCCACAAATCCAAGCCTTTAGGCTGTCCTTAAGGATTACAGTTGGGCATGGCTCTCAACTGTCCCTCATTTGTTGGCACTGTCCATAAGAGTTATCCCTCTTTTTAGTCTGATGTATAGATTTCTACAACAAATACACTATTTAACTATCAGACATATTATATAGCACTAATCCTCTCATATAACCTCTATATTATAGTACTTGCCCTTCTAAAAAGTCCAGTATAAAGGAAATATAATGGTGAGAAAAAGACCTTTTGGGTTTAACCAATCATTTTTTGTGTGATAATTCTTTTCGGTCCACATAACTGGGAGGTGTGTCCTTTGCCTACATACTTTGTACTTTAGGCTGTCCGTCATTTTTCATATCAGAAAGTTAGGAGGTAGTTGAACATTCCTGTTGAAAAATTGTAATTTCCTACCACAAATAGCATATTAAATTGGTTCAAAGGAGTAGATTTACTATTGTCCTCCTGTGACCCAAAGTCAGCATCTAATGGGCTACTGCCCGCTATTTTCTGACATTGCAGACCTGCGCTGCAGCCGGGAAAGATCCTGACAATATTGTCAGGATTCACCCCGCTGCCTGATTGACAGCTGGCTCTGCCTCTTTAGAGCCAGAGCCAGCTGTGCCCAACCCCTCCCCTGTCTGTCCCTTCAATGAGCACTGGATGAACGAACAGATGAGAGGGGGGAATACCTGCGGGGAGCTATGACTAAAAGGCACCGCTCTCTGTAGGGAGAAGACCATGAGCGATCAGAGATTTGTCAGTTCTCGATCTATATAGCCAGCATGTGACTGCTGCAGTGTCACATGCCGGCTCTTTGTATTGGAGAGAGTACATCTTAATCCTCCAATACTTCACCTTTAAGAGGACTGTGAAAGGCTTAATATACATATTTAACTTGCAGTCTTATCTGAAAATGAGAATCCATAAAATACCAACATGGGGCCCCCGGTTTTAACTAGCTTTTCTCCACAGCATATGGTGCATTTTGCTGAAGAGTTATGAACAAGTATGACACCCGGGACAGGTGGATATAATTTGACCCTAGAACAGTTCTCCTATTGCTTCCAAATTACATCTCTACCTTGACATAGCTATCTTTCTGCAACGACATCCTTCTCTCTGCAAAGATTATGTGAGAATACTCAATACCTACAGCAAATTTAACAAAATGGGAGCTTAGTGACTGGAAAAGCAATGCAAGATATGTAGACATTGTAATATGGGCACCCAGTAAAAGCACATATCTATACATTATGTGCATAATTTAAAAAATAATTTATATCTTCCCTGCAGTCTATTTAAAATAATGTAGAATGTGCATGCTCAGGTAATTGAACTACTGAACTACTTACACATCCAGTAAGAAGTTGCCTTTTTACTGGCATGCTGTGGCCAATATTCAACAAGTCTAATTTCTACTCAAGCCTGTGTTTACTTAAAGTGCCCCTGTCATAAGAGAAAGATGCCGGTGCTGGCCTCCTAATGAAAATGCCAGCTCCCTTGGCTACGTTTGAGTCACTGACCTAGAGCAAGTATGATATAAATGAGTGTGAGAAAAGAGTTGGAACTCCCTGTCTCTATACTTGTTCCAGGTGAGTGACTCAGAAAACATAGAAGCCAAAGCATAAGCATGACAGCCAGGGAACTAACATTCTCAAAAGAAGAGGTCAGCAACGGCAACCTCCACACTTCTCTCATGACAGATTTTAATAAGTAAGCCCAGACTGCGGGAAAAGGAAAACTTGACTTTTGTTACATAAGAATTTGTACACGATAAATAAATGCTCCATGATGCATTATGTAGTTTAATGTTGTTAGACATTATCTTTCCAGCTATGAGTTGCTAAAACAGACAAAAAATGAAAATGTTGCTTCCTGTTTCATGGCAACTGGGGTGTTGTCTATAATATACAGGGTCTAATTATAAACAATTTGCAGAGCCATTCACTACTCTGAGAATGCTCCTTTCACAGAATTTCGCAGGTCGAATGGCTCTGTGAATTGTTTATAAGTGACTATAGCTGCCTTGCCACTCTGCACACAGGAAACAAGAAGTAAGTGGAATGCATGTTTGTGTTTCCAACCGAAAAGCAGAAGGCATGCTCCTACATAGGGTTTGCTGAACCCCTTGTTATGTATATAACTGACAATGAGAGATGAAAATAAGGGTTACATTTTGGCTTCTTTAAATAAACAGTACAAAAGTAATTCACGGGGTCAGGTGCTATGACATTGCCACTCACTGGGTAAGATTTTGTGCCATTTGAGAACACATTTGTAACAAACTGTATGCCTATATACAAGGCAGATAATGAGCAAAACCAGGAGCAGTCTTAGCCCTGCCCAGTTTTTTCCTACCCAAAGCATCGGGAGGGGGGAGACGTCCCAGGGATATCTAGGGATATTTCCATCTATGACCTAATACTTGGACACCGATCACACGCACCACATCACTCGTGGGTTGAAATATGCTCTTTATATTATACTTTTTAACCCCTTATGTGTTATAGGATACATTTTAGATATGTTTATAATGTTATATACTATATATATATATATATATATATATATACAGTATATGTGTGTGTGTGTATATACACACACACATACACGTGTATTATATAACTCCTTAAAGGCTCATGCCAATATGGTTTTTCTGAATTTGGCGTGCGTTTTGAACACACATCAAACACAGGCCATTGAAACACCATTTATTTCAGTTGAGCAATATACCTGCTTTGCGTTGCGCCGCATTTCTTTGGAGTTGTGTTTGAACTGCAGGCAAAGCAGGTCAAATGCAGCCTTTTCTTGTTAAACGCTGTGTTTTCCATTCAACATGAGCCCTTACAGTTATACTTATTAATAATAAAAACATCTAGGTTAAAACATAGCTAAAAATATTTTCAACTGATAGCCATTGTAAAAAAAAAATTCACATATAGCAAATCTCTAGTTAAAATTTGAAAATGAAAACATGCAGTGATTCTTCCTAATGCTTCTCATATAACATCCGAATCAAATAAACATGAGGGCTTGTGTTGATGCCATTGCTTTGACATCAATTTGAGATGCTCCTGAGATCATTCAGAATTCAGTGGCTTGCATTTGACCTGCAGTTGAATTACCCCTAACTTGCCTTTGCCTTGTTTCAAGGGCGTTTTGCATTACCATGGACTCGTATGGGAATGCAGAACCCATTTGAAGTGAACAAAAGCCTATTGGCACAGCCCCTTAGTCAGAGAACTTACAGTTTTATTATATATCAGTGTACTGTATGCTCACTTTTTTCTTTTATTATAACATCATTTTGCTAAACTTCTCTACCTGATTTACAGTGAATTCTTTGTTGGACCACATAAAGCTGACATACCTGGAGCACAGTTGTCAACCAGGGCACCCAGTGCTTTGCCATCTTGCCAGTCTCGGTGGAAGTTGGTGATGGGAAGTTGTGGAATCTTGTTCTGAATCCATCCCAGAAGTCTCTGTTTGGGTGTTTGTTTTTTTGCATCTTCTTCATCCTCATCTTCCCACATAGGCATAGAAATGGAGTAGTGTAGAATGAGAGTCCAGATCAGACCCAGGATCAGCTTAAGGTTTCCATCCACAATGGCCTTTGAATCTGCAATGAAAATGAGAAATATCAGTCAAATATTCTAAACAATAAAGATAATCCTTTTTACATCATTCAAAATTATGAACAGACAATGCATTAGGTATACAACAGAGCACAAACCATAAGTTTTCACTAACATACAATTAACTTTTCAGCCATTATTCATATTATAAATAGATTTTATAATGTATTAAAAAGATGAGATATGCACAAAAGAGTGAAGTGCTAACTAACGTTTAGCTACTTTGGCTCCTGGAATTTATCCATCCCAGCACTTCAGTCACACAGTATGGCAAGAGAAGCTGATAACATTTTTCCTAGCAGTGTCTGCATATCATAGGATTATGTAAATTGTAATCTACAACTGATACTGCTAACAAGCATGGAATTCCTGGGAAAAAAAAACACTTAATTATTCTTTCTTAGTAAAGGTACCTACAGACATTAGAGAACATTAATATATTTGTATTCCCTATTAAAATGTTGATGCTACTAGACTAAGCTTGATAAGGGCAAAGTTAATCAGCTGGGATGGATTCTCCTGGCCAATTACTACTGCTTCCCCTCTAGACCAATGGAACCCAAAGCTTCCCCCCCACACATCCTTTGGTACAAACATGCAAGTTTGCATACAAATCTATCTTTAGGGGGCTGGGTCGTGAATGCACAGTGAATATCTGTAGGCAGCTTCAGTTGCATCTGGAATATTTATCAGTGCATACTTTACCATTGGTGCAACCTGATTTTTAAGTTATTTTTGTTTTTGGATGTAGGTCTGCTGTCACAAAGGTGACTCACGACCTATACTGTCTTTTTATTCTAATAAGCCTTATATTTAAAAAAATGTTTTGACTTTGCTATGCGGGCTTACAAATCACAGGTTGAGCAATCTCAGCTAGAAAATTTCTCTTAACTGTGTGTATTTTCTTTATTTCTTGTTATGCAAATCAAGATCGTCAATGTTTCAAAATGTTTGTAGCTCTAAAGGTCACAATACCTCCATTTGGTTTGCAATGTTCTTTATCATTCTCCTTTTTTTTTTTTTAATGCAAACAAATTTGTCATTACAGGAGCCAATTTACAAAACAGGAAGGAATAAACATGGAAGAAACCCATAAATAGCCAAATAGGGTACTTCGTTTAAAAGATTATAGTGATCATTTATAGGCATTTATAGTGCCTCATGTTGATCCTTATTTTTGTATTTAGTGAACACAGGACAGTTAAACACTATCCAATGAATGTCATCTGGTTCCTGATCACATTGGTCAGATGTCAGGTCAGATCAATCGATAATACATATCACAAAATATGAATCTATATGTTGCATGAATTAATTAAGTTAAATAATTTAAAATCAGACAAATTAAACACAATTGCAGATATTGGCATTATAATACCGAATATTGTATTAGCAGGTAGCAGATTAGTGTAGTTTTGTACTGAGAGATGTTCAAGCATGCAATTCTACACTTTTTTCAATACTGTTTCATTTCAGCCCTTGGCACATAGACAAACCGACAGCTCTATATGTTTACAAATAGCTAATAATGAAGTACTGTATCTTGCGTCACACATTCTTGCCCGATATATTTTTCAGACTGAAATACAGACACTAATAACACTGATATCCCCACACTAATCCTAACTGAATTTAAAATATCAAAAGAGTCACGTTCAAAATCTTTTTTAACATCAGACCAACACCAGATACAGTATGTACCACTGCTGGCTTAATCGTAATACAGAAACTGCAAATATTTAAGGAAACATTCAGCAGAACTTTTAATGCTAACATACATCTAACTAGATGTTAGAATTCAACCGCGTATGATCTCTGACAGAAAGACAGCTTGAAGTATGTGCTCTTATAAATTAATTACAGACATTTATGTAACGTCCACAAGTTACGCTGCACTTTACTTATATTGTACATTCACATCAGTCCCTGCCCTCAAGCAGCTTTCAATCTTAAGCTGGCCACACACCTTACAACCATCACAAGACTTTTGTCTTGCAATGGTTGTAAGGTAATTTAAAAAAACTTACGATCTGCCTATCTTGGACAGGCAGATCGTACTTGCGATGATTGCAAGCCCGCCTCGCTGAGGGACGGGCTTCCGATGACTGCAATGCTGAACGGGCAGTGTGCGCTTGCGCACACCGGCCCGTGCGGCTTTTATCTTGCGAACATGCCACAAAACAGCCGAAAATCGGACGATGTTCGGATGGTCTTCGAACATGTTCCTAAGATAAAAGTCGTGCGACCTTACAGTAGCAAAGGTCGCACACCTTCCACACACCTTGCGATAATCGTACGATCGCGGGATTTCCCGCGGTTATCGTACGATTATCGCTAGGTGTGTGGGCACCTTAAGGTCTCTATCTCATGTACTAAGGCCAATTTAGACAGGAACCAATTATCCTACCAGGAAGACGCCCATGCCAGCTCAGAAAGCTCATACAAATTTCATGCATGTCCTGCTTGGGATTTAAACCGAGGACCCCAGTGCTGCAAGACATGAGTGACCTGGACAATAGCAATGATAGGTAGAATAATACCCAGAGAAATAAAAGAAAACAGCAGTTTAGGTTTTAAATGTATATATTGTATGTTTGTATATACAGTATGCATAGATAAATATATACAGTATGTGATTTAAAATCTATTTAGTTGCTGTGTTTTACTACATTTACTTTGACTAGGAATGTAAGACACTGTCTACTTTAGTTAAGTCTATAAACATTAACTAGTGATATTGCATACCATTTCCCTTATTAGCACAATCTGTGGTAGATTATAAGGGTGTTTGGAGCAGTGGCCTGGCAGCAAACATTTTCCATTCAAACTCTGAGCACGTGTGCCCTTGAGCAGATAAAGAGTACAGGAAGAGTAGAGAGCAATGAATGCACTTAGTCCAGCACTGTTAGATATGTTTTATATGTAATCAAAGGTAGGCCATCTTCCTGTACTACAATAGAAAAGAATGCAAGTTCAAATCACAACATGAGCAATTTTCCTTCTCATTTTGTATTACTCAAAATAGGCTGTACAGGGGTTTCAAGGTTGCTTTAAAGGAGAACTATGGGGTCAGTGTTTTTCCCCATAGTTCTCCTTGGGGTAACGGGAGGACACAAACTAGCGTCCTCCCGTTACCCTAAGCTCAGTATACCGCGCGCTACAGCTCGCGGTATACTGAGACGCCGCACCTGGAGCGGATCCCAACTTAGATGACGGGATCCGCCCAGCTGTGTGAGTGACAGCTGGCTCTGCCTATCTAGAGGCAGAGCCAGCTGTACCCGCCCCCTCCCCCGTCCGTTCCGCCAGTCAGCGCTGGCAGATCGGAGCGGGGAGAGGGGAATCCAGCCCCTCCCCCTGTCACGGCAGAGAGCCGTGACAGGATCGAGAGGTGAGGGAACCCGGTATGTGTGCTCTCACCTCCCGATCTACTGAGCCGACCTGTGACAGTCTCATTGTAATAGGTCGGCTTAGAACTATGAGGTGAGTGGAAATCACTCATGTCATAGTTCTCCTTTAATGTTTCTAGGGCTGGTTCTGAGGACTTTCACGGTGTGCTGCCAGAAACCCAGCACTGTTGTCTTCTGTGAGGAGCTCTTTTGGTACTGAAAACAAAAGTAAATGTATGTAGTCATGCCCCAGCCATGAAACCAATCCCTAACCCTTACCATGCCCTAACAATTAACATGGAGATACATGGAGGCTAACATTCTTGATCTCACTTTTTGTAAATGCTACTTGCCTTACTGTCATCCTGACCCTCTTGGTTCAATAGTTGAAGTCACTGCCCAGAACTAGCATGCAGTTGAGAACTTTCCTGAACTACATACTTGTTCTGACGCAGTGAGTAGTAGTGAAGCCAGTAGGTCAGCAGTATAGGAGTACTGCTATGAGTTTAGTGCAGCAAAACATGCTAGTTACCTTGCTGCCATGCTGATCTATTGGCTTAAGTACTTTCGGAGACACTGATTTGAACTATGTATGCATTTACTTAGTGCAGACGAAGGTTGGCGACAGCAGGTTTTCTTTCTTCATGTAAGAGACACCAGCCTGCAAGCACATCACACTCATGTACAAAACATACTGCCACAAACTCTACATGAGTCATGCATCCTCTGCATTCCAATATCTTCTCAATCTTTCCATAAACTGAAAGAACAAAAGCAAAGAGAATGTCCATGAATATGCGGGTGGGGACTGGGATGTGGGGGGTGTCAGAGTCGGTACACCCTTCAGTCAACTGGAAGGAGGATGTGAAATTGAGGGAAATTACAAGACTGGCGGCACAAATGACAGTGGAGATAATAAGATCACAAATTCATTTGCTGTATTCTCTGCTTCTGCTCCTCTGTCCTGGCTATAAGTTACAATGGTCTGTTATCAATGTAAGCGCTTGTCATCGCCATATGATAACATATACCTCTATCTAGTGATGAGGGCTTGCAGATTTTCATTTACTATTCATCTAGGCATCTAAAGCAAACCTTATCATTCCAGTGTCACTGAAGGCTTCCTGTAGAAACAAAGTCTCTATTCACGTAACAGTAAGAAAGCACTTCCAATGCTCTAAATGTGCAAATTGATTTTGCACACTTTCATAGTGTAATAAAGTTTCTCAGCGCTCTCTCGCGACGCAGGATCTGTTCCCTAAATTTCCGGGATGTGTGTGTGAGCAATGTATGCATAATGCTGTCAAATCTTGTTTTTTTTGTGTCAGCTGATTAAGTTCCCCATGCATCAGTTGTCTTATTGTAGTCCATCTCAGGAGCGAGCAGAGGAGGATGGCTACGTTCACAGTGGGACCATGTAGAGCGAACGTAGTCACTTTTATAAAGGAAATTGGAACTCTGGAGGGTTAAGAGACTCAGAAGTCTATTGTTTAAGGTATTGAATATGTTTTTATTATTTAACTACCATACTCATATAAAATGTGTTGTCTGCTATGAGTTGCAAAACTCATAGTGGCAAAAGTACTTACCCTTGGGGG